TCGGTTGGAGCTGAAGTTTACACAATCGATGCCGCGAAGAAGATGAAGTACGAGGAGCTCTTCCCTGTGGAGTCGATGAAGTTTGGGTACGATCCTGCCAACAAGTCCCGAAACGGCACCAGGACCGTAGAGGAGGCGCTGGACGATCGGGTTAGGAGGAAGGCTGATCGCTACTGCAAGTAATACTTCTTTTGGTTTTACATCAGGCAGGTAGGTGGGATATGGTTAATTTAATGTTTTCATGTTGAAATAGAATTATAGTTAGGGTTTTCTAACTAGAGCTTTGATTTTAATTCTTTTTTTGAACTGAAGTAATTTTTTCATTATCATTGAAGTAATTATTTTGCGAATACAAGAACTCATGTGAATAGAACATTTATGTACAAGTGGAGAACACAGGATAATTTCGATGGAGCACAACTTTGAACTTAGTCTAAACGAAAAATGCTAGATTTATAATGCTTTTGATTTCAGGAAAAATTGTGTATTTTGGTATCTTCATATTGTGTAACATTAGTGTGATTATAGTTGCTGCTGTTTATGGTTGAAGAGATTTTATTTAAGAGGAACATGGCTGTGAATTTGGAGAAATTCTTTTCTTTTTATGGTTTCCCTCTGGCTTAGATAACTCATATTTATGGGCTACAATTGAAATACTTTTTTGTGATAAAAAAAATTAATAGAAAATATTTGAGAACTGAAACAAATATTCATTTTATTTTTATTGATCTTGAGAAGGCATATGATTGAATCACACTGGAGTTGATTTGGCGTGCATCAAGGAACTAAATTGTTTGTCAAAGACGTGATATATTTTTTGAATAAACATTTGATGGACACCAACTAGTTTTTGAAGTAGTTACGAATTGACCTAATTGTTTTCAATATTATTGGATACACCAATGATCAATGTTGAGTCTTTATCATTTTGTACTTATTCTAGAGATGCTAATAAATGAAATTAAAAAAAACTAAGCTTTGTTTTATGATTTTTTGAGGTGATAAAGCTCTAATTGTTGAGATATATGCCAAAATAAGTGAAATTCAGAGCATACAAGAAAAATATTTTGAAGATCAAGGGATTGGAATTAGTAGAATAAATATTAAATACATGTTATATAATTTTAATATGTTTAGTATTAATTGTTATTAATTAATACTATAATAATACAAAATGATAGTGATGTCTGATGTTTTTAATCATATTGGATTTATTGTATAGAAGAATGGGGGCATTCAACACGAACTTGTTATTTGGTGGAAAATAAAATCACTGCTCTAATAGTGTAGTTGCCACTACAATATGTGATAGCGAACAATTGTTTGTTGCGGCGCCATTGCTAAAGCTTGTCAGGAGATACTTTTGGCAACTAGGTGTGTTTTGTTGATAAATGTCTTTTATGATGAATAAAATTTATTATTTAATTTCTATCGGACAATACTTCCCTCACCAATAATACAATCTTTGACTGGAAATGCTCATTGATAAATATTTTTTGAGAAAAAAACATCATTTGTTAGCTTATATTTTTTGGACTATACTTTTGTTTCCTTGAATTCATATTTTCACGAATTAAATCTCATTGGTGAGCCTTTTTTGTATCACAATCTTAATACTGATTGAAATGCTAATATTTGTTTGCAAATGTCTTCTTCATCGACCATGCCACTTGGGTAACATATTTCATATTTAGTATTTAAACCAATAACTTTATGCTTATACATATTTATATGGGAATGTAATTCGTTGCTACATTGTAGCTGGTATGCTTCCCTCCACATGACTATTTCAAAATTAATGCATAAAATTAATTTTCAATTTAATAAAACAGTTGCGACTCTATCAAGTTAAGATATACATGATAACATGATGGCAGACATGTTTCCACCAGTCAATATATAACAGCTCAGTACTTTTTATTGAAATTTTGAAATGAAAAACATTATGCTAAGTGCATAGAGAAAACAAAATATACAACAAAGCTATCCAAAAAATATAATATAATATAATTAGTACTTTGATTATAAAATTCTAAACCTGTACTATTTGTAAAGAGATTAAGTGAACCAAAACATTATATATTTATAATGCAGGGTTTAAAATATCTTAATGATGCAAGAAGACATAGATCATAAACAAAACATAAACTTATTTCTACCGAATGGGAAACAAAATGATTTTAAGAAGTCCTTATTAAATTATTAAGAGCTAGAGCTACATAATACAGATCGTGGGTCTGATATATCCATTTCAGTTGCTGATGGAGACAATGGAACTAAATTATCAAACATTATTCTCATCACATCGTTGGTAGAATCACTTAATGCTGAGGTGTTGATTTATCCCTCAACTCTTTATTTTTCAGATTCTAAATCTGCCTTTGATGATTACCCTTCTTTTTTGGTCATGCTTGTATTGACTTGATCACTTCACTCTGAAATGTTAAATCTTGCCAAAACTTCTTATTTTCAAATTCTAAATCTGCCATTAGATTGTTTTGGCCTGTGTTCATGTCCTTTATGCATCCTGACCTTATGCTAAATACTTGCGAATTTCAACTTGATTCAGTTACTGAGATTCTTCTTCTCTAGTCTGAGCTAGTAATTGTGGTTTGATAATTAAAACATGAGGTGGGTGAATCTAATATAATTGAGTAAAAAAAAGGAGTAAACGTAAGACGATACTGATGTCATAACAAAGCATGTAAAGATGAAGTTTATTTATAAAATATCCAGTATGTGTAAGCACATTGAATTTGATATATATCATCTCATTCATATTGTTGTAATATGCATCCATATAGAACAAGGATATCAAACCATATTATCTATCACATATTTTGCTTTGCAAATTGATAATTTTTCTTAAAGCCATTGATGTACTCCTTACACCACCAATATCTTATTTTCATTTAACTCTTATTCATCTTTTACTACTCGTAGCATTTCTAGTTAATGTTTTAGCATTTTTTACGAATATTTTATAAGATAAAAAGTGTGATTTAATATTAAACATCAGTATGATGATTAATGGAAAAAGTCACCATAGCCTTTGCATTTCTTGTACAAATTATATTAGTTTCATTTTTTTTTTGTCATTTTTTTTAATCTTATCTTTATAAAATTGCAGAACTATGTTGACTTCTATTAGTTGATTTTCATTCATATAAAATAGTTTTATATTTTATATGACGGGTTATAAAGCAATAGGATGTATTAAATAATAAGTACATCATAATAGGGATGTGAGGAAAAAGAGAGGAATAACGGACAAATGCAGAAGAATCAGATATATGGAAAAAAAGAGGAAGGGAGAGGGAGAGATGTGAGTTATCACTCTTTTAACTGCTCATCATGGTATCGAACAATCAATCCATCATGCCCCTTTTATGGTTTTAGAAGACCTTTATATACAACACAGTTCTTTATGCACATTTAAAATAACTGGAATTTTATTAATATTTGCAAAACCTAAATAGCTTGTGTCAAAGATTGATTGGGATAAGAATCTAAAGACCATGTTGATTCTAAGTCAATTTGCTCAGGTTGAAATAAACTCTCCTTCAAAGAGTTGGTGGGAATTAGATCATGGGTATCATGAATAGTGGCAACAATAGAAAATTGATTGCTTGTAAAAGGATCTGTCATCTATCTCTTTGGATGATGGCTTCCATCTTTAATCAAACCAATAGTTTGGTAGAAAATAGTATAACAATATGATGATGATAATCGTGAAAGTTTGAATTCCACTTGCATGATTAGAGAAGCCAACAATATATAGACAAGTTAGTAAAATCCTATATGTCAATCGTAATTATTACCGGAAAATTTGCTTATTTCACACATAATGCTATTGCATTTGACCACCAATTTGGCAAGTTGACATTGGAAGGAGGAAAATGATAGTCAAGTAGAGATTAAGCAAGGTACAATTGCTAGGGAATACATTGTATCTCTATTTGTAGAGGATATGGTGTAATAATAGAGTTTGAAGTCATCAAACATAGGGGTTTTTCTCTCTCCTCTTCTCTCCTTTTATTTTACCCTTCTTTCTTTTTTTTTTCATTTCCTTCTTTTCTTACTTTCCTTTCTAGGCTTTTTATTATTTAAAACCTTTCATAAAATTGAAATCTGATTTTTTATTTTCCTTCCTAATTTAGAACCTTTCTTGAAAACTGAAATATGATTTCATTCTCCTTCCTAATCTAAAACTTTTCCTAAAAACTGAAATATGGTTTTTATTATCCTTCCTAATTTAAATCCTTTTCTCAAATCTGAAATCTGAATTTATTCTCCTTATTTGAGTGTTTTCTAAGATAGGTTGTCTTTTTAAAAATATGAGAGGTTGTGCTTTGAACTAAGAGTTGTTTTATGAAATCTAAATTGAGCTTTGTATGGGTATTTTCCTTCTTGAGGGTTGTATCCAACATCAAGGTAGCGGTCTGGTTGTCTCTTATCTAAGGTGGTGATTGTCTCCACAGGTTTGAGTGATGCTCCGGCTGTATCTCAACCTTGCTGAGATATTTATCTTTTCATACTTCCTCTCCTTTGCTGTCATTCCATCTTACAACCCCCGCAACTCCTCTACACCTATTGTCCATCTCTCAGACCCCCGCAACCTCTCCCCATACAGCTGCCAACCAACTCCTAGCTCTCCTACAACAACCACAACCTGCCCCTATAGCTACAGTTCCATCTTACAACCTTCGCAGCTCCTCCCCTACACCTGTCGTTCCATGTCTCATCCCCCGCACCCTCTCTTCTACAGCTGCCAACCCACCTCGCAGCTCTCTTACATCCCCGCAGCTCCTCTCCTACAGCTGCCAACCCCCTCCCAACCCTCTTTCTGCAACCGCAAACCCCTCCCATAATGCTGTTAGCCTTCCTACTTCCCTGCGGACTCCTTCCGGTTGCTATCTCCCTCACCAACCACACTCCAACTGCCCATCTGACTCTTCCCAGCACCCGTGTGGCTCTCCCAACAGCCGCCTACCACTAGCTGGCAGGCCACCATCCCTACTGCTTCCCTCAAGAATCCTTCCAGTCATTGTTTTCCTCGTTGACTACCATCTAGCAAATCCAGCAGTGGGGCTGTCTTTATTTGTTTGTGTTGTCATGTTGTTTGTCATTTATTTCCTACTTTTCTAGTTTCATGTTTGTAAATCCTTTTGGAATTCAACAATCTTATTGTTCCCAGTCTTTTAAGTTAT